CTTTCGCAATTGAATACATGGTAGGTGATACTCAGCTTTTGTGCATATACATGTTTATTTGCAAATAATTAGAGGTGGTGATGTGTGTTTTATGTTGTGGTTTTGTTGAAGTTATATCTTGGAATACCGTTTGATTTAAGAAATTGTAGGATATTATATGGATTAATGTCATGAGCGAGTTTATTCATGTTGGTTGTTTGGTTGGTTGATTTTGTTTTGTGGCATATCAACACCTCTATGGGTTTTTTATTGCCGAAATTTTAAAATTATGTACGTAATTTTATGCTTTCAAATACAGATATTTTATACATAATTTTATACTTTGAGAGTAAAGGCACGTTTTTTTAGATATATAATTTTTAGATCATAAAATTTATTGTTGGTAATTTTTACTATAAAAATGTATTTTTATACTTTTTAGTGTTGCATTGATTGCCATTTTGCTATAAAAATATATTGTTGGTCATTTTGCTATAAAAATATATTGTTGGTCATTTTGCTATTAAAAAATAATGTTGATTTTTTCTTTGGGTTTTTTGTTTGGGGATTTGTCCATAGCTGGTATTCTAACAGGTGCTACCACTCTTACAGGATGGACGCGGGAAAGCAATTAAGAGGTCGTTCCACGCTCCTCAAAACCCCGAATGCCACGATCAGAGGCCTTTGCTGCCGGGTGTAGTTTATCGTCATACCCAGGACGACTTTCGTTCTTCTCTTAGAGTTTGTATTCGGTAGCATTCTCAGAGTCATCAACCAAGCCTTTTATTCAATACATGGTGTAAGTTGTTTTAATTTGTTCTCATGGTATAATATATATATATATATTGAACCCTTTTTAAGTTACAAATTTTGGAATTGTCACTGACCCTCCACATTATATAACTGGACATCTGATAATTTTAGTAGTCTTAGCAATAAAAATTATCAGATGTCCAGTTATATATTACTCAAAGTTGCTCTCTATGCGTCTGAGAAGAGCAGATATTTTCGACATCTGTCACCTCACACATGATCAGCTAAACCTTCGTTCATAGTTTCTTCACGTTGTATATCATTCCAATGTTCTTTCTGATTTATCTTTAAATTCCTTGCTACCACTGCACAGAATGCTATAAACACTTTTAGTCATGTTCTCAACTGATGGTCAGATAACTGATTTGTAGTTTAAGGACCTCAAATCATTTAAATCTGTTCGATAAACGTCTGATGTAATGTGGAGGGTCAGTGACAATTCCAAAATTTGTAACTTAAAAAGGGTTCAATACAAAGTAGAGCAATATTATTTATTTTAGGATATTACACCGAAATCATGTCAAAAGTATAAATTTTATATTGGTAGTACTAAGAATTCTTTCAAGACTAGGTGGTATCAGCATACCTTGTCCTTCAACCAACAGTACTTGCAGAAATAATACATCACTTTCTAAATATTTTTGGAGTTTAAAAGATGATAATAAGACTCCAAAGGTAAAAATGGGAAATTTTAAAAAAGGGCATAGACATGTAAATCTTTATATGAACTCTGTTTTCTGTGCTTACATGAAAAATTGGAAATTATCAGATTCAGTAAAAATTCCTTTTTAAATCAAAGGAATGAATTAACTGTAAATTGTAAACATAGTTTACCTTTTACTTTACAATTTAGTTAAATTTTTGGAACTTGATTATGCTTTTTCTTAAATTTTAGTTGTACCGCGTTGCACCATATATGGCTTATCTTTCTATTTTGTAAGATGAATTAGGATTTAATATAATTTTGTATTAATCTCCTGGTAGTATTAGTAGCATCTTGTATGAGTGCATTGGTATTTCGTTGGTATTTTTGACATTTTACATTGATTGGTTATTGTTATTAACATCTTATATGAAGAATCTTTATACAACAGTTGCATATTAATTTACCAAATAATTCTGTACGTTTAAATTTACTAGTTTCTTAAAGAAGCTATTTATTTATCAAACTATAAAACAATTATGTAGGAAGTTCACAAAGCATGTAAGTTTTTGGTATTTTATTAAATTACTCCTCCACCCCATTTTTGTTTCTTAGTAAACGGCATTGTCTAGTTTGTTTAAATTATGTAACCATTTACATCCGCTCTAGTCTGGCTGCTGTTAGCTGCCAATCTCCGGGTCATGACACATTTATAAAATATAATATTTAATTTTTGCTTGATCGCTTAGCTTAAATTTAACGTAGGTCTTATTTGATTGGTTGATCTGAGTAAAGCCCACAAAACTTATAACCTCCGCTTTCTTCTTTCTTCGTAAAAAGAGGTGGCATTTTGTTTTTAAATCTAACAGCGACAGTCTGTTTCATGCTTAAACGATTGCGTTTAAGCATGAAACAGACTGTTGTCGCTAGGTGTTGACGTCAATATCTTCTTTTATATTTAGATACGCTCTATTCATGATATTGAGCACTTTGAGCAATAAATATAGTATGCTTTAAAACTTGATTATAGTGGTGAAGGTTTCGTGCACCACACTTTTTGAAGGGCCGAATACAGAGACCTGGTGCGCTACGTGCCTCAGGGTCCCCAAACGACCCTCCGCGAGTTTTAAATTCAGAGTTGTCCTTCTCCTAGACCATGAGATGGCAAAATACATTTCTTATATAACAAGAACAATATTGTGTAAAAGATTGTCTTGTATGGTCGCGCCAACATAATAAATTTACTCCGACGAAGTTCTAAAGGACGAAATTCGTCACAAGAAAACGTTTTACACTTTGTCATACATTTTCCCTTATACACACACACACACACACACACACACACACACACACACACACACACATATATATATATATATATATAGAGAGAGAGAGAGAGAGAGAGAGAGAGAGGTTCAAAACAAATAAAATTTGTCACTTAGGTTATATATATATATATATATATATATATATATATATATATGCGCGTGGCCGAGTGGTTAAAACTTTGCTTCTGATCATGTGAGAAAAAGACAAGGAGACTTCCTGAAGTTTTCGGTCTGGAGAGTGCGATCCGGCGAGCG